GTACACTGGAGCCCTCCCCACACTGTGCAGGTGCCCTGGAGCCCTCCCCACACTGTGCAGGTGCCCTGGAGCCCTCCCCACACTGTGCAGGGGCACTGGAGCCCTCCCCACACTGTGCAGGGGCACTGGAGCCCTCCCCCACTGTGCATGTACCTGAGCCCTCCCCACACTGTGCAGGTGCCCTGGAGCCCTCCCCACACTGTGCAGGTGCCCTGGAGCCCTCCCCACACTGTGCATGTACACTGGAGCCCTCCCCACACTGTGCAGGTGCCCTGGAGCCCTCCCCACACTGTGCATGTACACTGGAGCCCTCCCCACACTGTGCATGTACACTGGAGCCCTCCCCACAACTGTGCAGGGGCCTGGAGCCCTCCCCACACTGTGCATGGGCACTGGAGCCCTCCCCACTGTGCATGTACACTGGAGCCCGCACCACACTGTGCATGTACACTGGAGCCCTCCCCCACACTGTGCAGGTGCCCGGAGCCCTCCCCACACTGTGCAGGTGCCCTGGAGCCCTCCCCACACTGTGGCATGTGCCCTGGAGCCCTCCCCACACTGTGCAGGTGCCCTGGAGCCCTCCCCACACTGTGCAGGTGCCCTGGAGCCCTCCCCACACTGTGCATGTACACTGGAGCCCTCCCCACACTGTGCATGTGCCCTGGAGCCCTCCCCACACTGTGCAGGTGCCCTGGAGCCCTCCCCACACTGTGCAGGTGCCCTGGAGCCCTCCCACCCTGTGCATGTGCCCTGGAGCCCTTCCCCCCACTGTGCCAGGGGCCCTGGAGCCCTCCCCACACTGTGCAGGTGCACTGGAGCCCTCCCCACACTGTGCATGTGCCCTGGAGCCCTCCCCACACTGTGCATGTGCACTGGAGCCCTCCCCACACTGTGCAGGGGCACTGGAGCCCTCCCCACACTGTGCATGTGCCCTGGAGCCCTCCCCACACTGTGCAGGTGCACGCAGCACGTGTTGTGTGTTTTGAGGGTTTGGATCCAGGGAGAGGGTCAGTGTGAGAAGGCAGTGGCTATACTCTTTCAGTTTTCTCTGTCATCTCTGTGGTCTCTGAGCCCTTGCCACAGGGGCCCACAGACTGTGTCCTTGGAGAGGTGTGTGGGCTATCGGCTGCCATCCAGTTCAGGGGGTCTTAACACCAGGCATCAGGAACTTGGCATAAGATCTAATCTCCTCACTATGGCAACAGGGCTCACCTCCCTCTCCCTCTCCATCTCCCATCTCCCTTGGCTACGATGCTGCAGCTATCTTGACCCTTGACATTTTTGCAAGTAAGCTCACTCTGCCCCAGGGCCTTTGCACTGGCTTTCTTTCCTCTTCTAGAATGATCTGCCTCTGACATTTGCCTGACCAAAGCCTTCTCAGCTTTCTGATTGCCCTAAGGCATTCTTGACCTCTTCTTGGAAGCAGCTGGTCCCTCTAGCCTCTGTCTTGTTTCTCCGCTTGATTTGTTCCACAGCACTTACCATGCAATTATGTTATTTTTGAAACTGTTTATTATTGCCCTGTAGAATATATATTTGGATACCCATGGCCTAGAACAGGATCTAGGAACTGGTGGTAGCTCAGTCTCAGATAGCAACATGGGAAAAGAAGACTCTACCAATATGAGCGTATTTCAAAGAGGTCATGGGAAGTGGAATTTCTTAAAAAATGTTTACTTATTTATTTGAAAGGCAGAGTTACAGAGAAGCAGAGGCAGAGAGAGAGAGGGAGAGAGAGAGAGAGAGAGAAAGAGAGAGAGAGAGGAAGTCTTCCATCCGCCGGTTCACTCCCCAAATGGCCACAGTGGCTGGAGCTGTGCCAATCCAAAGCCAGGAGCCAGGAGCCAGAGCTTCTTCTGGGTCTCAGATGCGGTTGCAGGGGCCCAAGGACTTGGGCCATCTTCTATTGCTTTCCCAGGCCACAGCAGAGAGCTGGATTGGAAGTGGAGCAGCCGGGACTAGAACCAGCGCCCATATGGAATGCCAGCACCGCAGGTGGCGGCTTTATCTGCTACATCACAGCACCAGCCCCAGAAAATGGAATTAAAAGGTAAGTTATTTTGGTGTAAAAACCTTGAAGTCCATGCATAGTTTCTCAAAATATGCACTTCCATGAACTTAACGAGGATCCTCATAGGCATGGATTTGAAATGTTTTTGTTCCAAAATAAACTTATCTTTCAGTTCCCTTTGCAATGGCAATTTTGAACTTCGTTTTTTACTGCCTTCCACCGGGCGTTTTTCGTCCTGCCACATAAGGCCACCCTACGATGACTCACACCTTGCGTGTCCCTCAGTGCCGGCAGGAGATGCCCACTGTGCCGAGAGCATTTCCTACAGCACTCTTCCCACACTGGAGGTCTGGGTCTGAGTTCTGGGTCTGCCCCCAGTTCCAGCTCCCTGCTGATGTGCACCCCGAGAGGCAGCAGGGTGTTAGGGTCCCTGCCACCCATGTAGAAGACCCGGACTGAGCTCCAGGCTCCTCCTGGCTCTGATCTGGCCCAGCGCTGGCTGTTGGGGGTGTTTGGGGAGTGAACCAGTGAATGGAAGATCTCTCAGTCTCTTCGCCTTTCTAGTAAATAAAATCTATAAATAAAAACTAAGAAACCCCAAATGCTTGCTGGATGAAAGAATGGATGGATGGAATTCGCAGATTGGGAGTATCCACTTGTATCTTGGTTGACTGCATCATCTGCCTTTTCCCAGTGTGGGGCCCCAAGCCCTCCCTGGCACAGATTCTGGATTCCTGATGCACCCCCTCATGCTGCTGGCTTGGGGAATCCCACAGGGAGGGCCGCAGCTCCCTGGCTGGCGGAACTGAGAGCCTACAGGAGCAGCAACCGTGTGAATGAACACACCGGACCCGCTCAGTGTCCCTGTCATAATCGCCAACCCAGGGCTCGGGGACCAGCATGAGCACCTGCTGGGGCCAGGGAGTCCAGGGCACTTCCTGGAGAGAACTTGAACTCCGGTTCAAGGCAGGAGGAAGATGGGGCTGGCGGCGTGAGTGCCCCCTGCAGCTCCCAGAGCCCTGCTCCGTGGGTCCCAGCCCTCCAGCCCTGACTCCCCATAGGGTGATTTCCAAACAAGCTCTCCAAAGTGGACCGAGACTCCATCTCTCAACTCCCGCTTCCTGCCCCATGCACTGTCTCCCCTTGTTCCCTCACCCTTTCCATATCCTCTTCCCTGCAAAATTCTACCTCTCTCCACTTCACTCCCTCCATGACAGAGAAGGGGAGGCAGAGAGAGAGACAGAGACAGAGACAGAGATACAGAGAGAGAGAAAGAGAGAGAGAGGAGCTCTTCCATTTGCTGTTTCACTCCCCAAATGGCCACAACAGCTGGAGCTGGGCCAAGCTGAACCCAGGAGCTTCCTCCAGGTCTCCCACATGGTGCAGGGGTCCAAACACTTGGGCCATCTTCTGCTTCTTCTTCTTTTTTTTAATTATTTGACAGGCAGAGTGGACAGTGAGAGAGAGAGACAGAGAGAAAGGTCTTCCTTTGCCGTTGGTTCACCCTCCAATGGCCACTGGGGCCGGGGCGCTGTGGCCGGCGCACCGCACTGATCCAATGGCAGGAGCCAGGTACTTATCCTCGTCTCCCATGGGGTGCAGGGCCCAGGTACCTGGGCCATCCTCCACTGCACTCCCTGGCTACAGCAGAGAGCTGGCCTGGAAGAGGGGCAACCGGGACAGAATCCGGCGCCCCGACCGGAACTAGAACCTGGTGTGCTGGCACCGCAGGGCGGAGGATTAGCCTAGTGAGCCGCGGTGCCGGCCATCTTCTGCTTTCCAAGAGTATTAGCAGGGCACTGGATGAGAAGCAGAGCAGCCGGGGACTCGAACCAATGCCCATGTGGGACTACTCACAGCAGCTTAACCTTCTGTGCCACAGCGCCGCCCACTCCCTCCGATCTTCACTGTGAAGACAGACAGTCTCTTCCTATGGGGACCGTTGCTCCCCCTGCCCACTTCCCAGGTACAACACCTGCCCTCTGCACCGGGGCTGGGGCCTCTGTGCAGAGCAGCCCTGGGGCTGAGAACAGCAACTGCCAGAGGAAGAAGGGACGGTGGGGGAACTTAAAGCTCTCATTAGTCTGGCCTCACCATGCTCACCTTTTAAAGTCCCAGTATTAACCCGCTTTCCAGATGAGGAAATCGAGGTGCAGGGATCAACCTGCCCTCGATCCCCAAGCTAGCAGGTGCCCGTTACTCCTGCATACATTCTCGTCTTCTCTCAGCCTGCTCCTTGGCCTACTTAAATGTGATTTCAACCCACAGAGAAACTTGCCCAGGAAAGCCTCCCCCACCCAGTTTGTCTTGGTAAATCTCCCCTACTTGTTTTTAGAGATTTATTTTTATTTATTTGAAAGGCAGAATGACAGAAAGAGGGAGGGTTAGACAGATCTTCCATATGCAGGTTCACTCCCCAAATGGCCACAACGGCCGGGGCCGGGGCCGGGGCTGGTCCAAGCCAAAGTCAGGAGCCTGGAACTCCAGCCCGGTCTCCCACAAGGGTGGCAGGACCCAGATACGTGGTTCATCTTCTGCTGCTTTCCCAGGAACTTGGTAGGAAGAGGAGCTGCTGGGACTCGAATTGGCGCTACGATATGGGATGCCAGGGTTGTAGGGTGCAGCTTCTCCCTGCCGTGCCACACGCGCGGTGGGGAACGAAGTCGGGATGGGGCTCGGGTCATAGAGACTTCCAAGGCTGCTTCTTGCCCCGACACCGCGGACGCCCGCCCACCTGGCCACCAGGGCGTGCCTGTTCCTCCTCTACCCGTTTCTCAAACGTGGCAGATCAGACACCTTTTCGTCTTCCTGGACGCATTCTACCCGGGTCTGGTGCTGGGGCGCCTCTTGACCCCGTGAGTTGGCCCCCAGGACTCTGGCGGACCGAGCGCGGAGAGGGTGCCCAGGCACAGGTGGGGCGGTGCGCTGGAGAGCCGAGCGCGGAGGCGCGGGGGGGGGGGGGGGGGGAGGTGGCGCGGGACCCAGCAGAGGCCGGGAGCGGCGGCAGCGCTCGCCCGGCGCCCTCAGCTCCCGGCCTCCGGAGCCCTCGGTTTCGGCTCGCTCTCCCCTTCCCCGGCTCCGAACCAGACACAGCCGCCGCCGCCACCCCGCGCGCTGCCGGCTCTCAGGGACAGCCCGGGCCGGCCACGGGCACCGGCCGTTTCCTGCGTTGGGACTGGAGGGGCTGCAAAGCGGCCACCGACCCGGAGACGCCCTCTGGGGCCCGGCACAGCGCACGGTGAGCGCCCCTTAGGTTCGGGGAGGGGGGGCCCCTTAGGCGCGGGAACCGGCGCACCCCCGGGGTGCCCGATGGGGCCGCCTGGGGGGCGCAGGGCTGGAGTCGGGTCCAGGCGTAGCCGCCCGCTGCCGCCGAGCCTGACATGCTGCCTCCAGGGCGCAACGGCTCCGTGCACCCAGCGCGGTTTGGGCGGCAGCAGCAGCTGGCGCAAGCGGGCACAGTGGGGGGCTCGGCGGGGGCGGCGCCTAGGGGGCCCACGCAGGTGGTCACCGCCAGCCTCCTGACCCTGCTCATCGTCTGGACCCTGCTGGGCAACGTGCTGGTGTGCGCAGCCATCATGCGCAGCCGCCACTTGCGCGCCAAGATGACCAACGTCTTCATCGTGTCTCTGGCCGTGTCCGACCTCCTTGTGGCGCTGCTGGTCATGCCGTGGAAGGCGGTCGCCGAGGTGGCCGGTTATTGGCCCTTCGGGGCATTCTGTGACGTCTGGGTGGCCTTCGACATCATGTGCTCCACCGCCTCCATCCTGCATCTGTGTGTCATCAGCGTAGACCGCTACTGGGCCATCTCCAGGCCCTTCCGCTATGAGCGCAAGATGACGCAGCGCCTGGCCCTGGTCATGGTGGGCCTGGTGTGGACCTTGTCCGTCGTCATCTCCTTCCTCCCAGTGCAGCTCAACTGGCACCGGGACAAGGTGGGCTCCTGGGCCAGGGCGCACCTGCCGTCCAGCGCGGCCAACACGACACCCTGGGAGGAGGCAGGGGAGCTGGAGGCGAGGGCGGAGAAGTGCGACTCCAGCCTGAACCGGACTTACGCCATCTCCTCCTCGCTCATCAGCTTCTACATCCCGGTGGCCATCATGGTCGTGACCTACACGCGCATCTACCGCATCGCGCAGGTGCAGATCCGCCGGATCACCTCGCTGGAACGCGCGGCCGAGCACGCGCAGAGCTGTCAGGGCCGCGCGGCCTGCGCGCGGGACACCAGCCTGCGGGCGTCCATCCGGAAGGAGACCCAGGTGCTCAAGACCCTGTCGGTGATCATGGGGGTCTTCGTGTGCTGCTGGTTGCCCTTTTTCATCCTCAACTGCACGGTTCCGTTCTGCGCCGGTGACCCCGAGGGCCGGCGCGCCAGCTTCCCGTGCGTCAGCGAGACCGCCTTCGACGTCTTCGTGTGGTTGGGCTGGGCCAACTCCTCGCTGAACCCGGTCATCTACGCCTTCAACGCCGACTTCCGGAGGGTATTTGCGCAGCTGCTGGGGTGTGGCCACCTCTGCTCGCGCACCGCGGTGGAGACGCTAAACATCAGCAACCAGCTCCTGTCCTACAACCAAGACACGGCCTTCCCGCAGGAGGTGGCGGCTGCCTCTGTCCACGTGATCCCCAACGCGGTGAGCCCTGGGGCTGCGGGGGGCGACGAGGAGGAAGAGGAGGAGGAGGAGGAGGGGGAGGAACGCCCCTTCGACCGTGTGTCCCAGACCTCCCAGAGGTCCCCAGATGGAGACCCGGCTGCCGAGTCAGTGTGGGAGCTGGACTGTGAGGGGGAGATTTCCTTAGGCAAAATAACGCCTTGCACCCCCAATGGATTCCACTGAACTGCCCAGAAATGTGCTCGCGCATCTGCACTAAGTCCACACGCGCGTGTGCGCACACATGCACACACACACCTCCAGTGCTGCTCGGCTCATCCCGCGTTTCCGTGTCCTGCGTAGTAGTCCACGTGCTGGGAGACCTTCCCCTGTGAATTCCTGGTTGGACATTTGCGGAGGCAGTGGAATAAATGCTGTCAAATACACCCCAGCCTGGCAAAGATGGACCCGGGGTTCTATCAAAGAGAAAGCTGCGCTTGGATTTTTAAAAATGTGATCCCCTTTTCTTAAGAAAGAGAAAACCCCTGGCCTCCTCTTTCAAGCAGCGTCTGGATGGGTGGGGACTTTTCTGTGTCTGGGCTGACTGAACGAAAAGCCGGGTGGGAGGGTGATGGAGGGGTGGGGCAGCTGTGTGGTGCCCCGGGCTTGTGCCGCTGTCCGCTCTGTGCTGCTGGATGTCTACGCTCCTGGAGCAGGTCATCCTGATTCGCTGGGCTTCTACCAAGCACAGTTATGCGAGGATGGGCAAGATCTTTGCTTTGCTGCACTGGGGTTCAAGGCTGCTCCTGCAGAAACGGCCAGTGCACCCTTAAGAAGCAGAGGAGACGTTTGCTGGACCTGAACGCACACTTTTGTTTCCTTCACTGTTTGACCTTAAAGGATCACGCAGCGTGTAGGGCCTTGGGATTTTTCTTGGACACACACATCTGGAGTGGACGCTGGAAGCTGGTTTTGAGGCCACTGTGATGGAAATGATTTTCTCAAGCCTCCCACTGGAGGTGAGACCTCCTCTCACAGAGGAGGACCCAGGTATAGGAAGGTTACATCGTTTGCCCAAGGTCACGAGGCAAGGAGGGGATGGAACCAGGGCTTCCTGTAAAAATAATGTAGCAGGAGACCACCCTTCCGATTCCTAGAGATGCTGTTGGTTCATGGAAAAGGCCTTCTAGAATAATGGCACGACCTTGGGATGTTTTACAGTGACGTGGGTTTGAAACAGAAGCATCCATATGCTTTGGAAAAGAAACCCCACTTTTAAACGGGCGTGACTATTTGTAGACAAGAGTGGGTAGGCGGATACAATGTAACCAAATGTGGGAGCCAGAGATGAAACCTGAGTGCAGCTGAGACTGGGAAACCTGTAAGGCATTGGTCCAGCCGGGGCTGCTTTTAAGCTCTGCAGTGTGTGCAGTGATGGGAGCGTTTTATTCCAGTGCCATTCGAGTTGAGAGCGTCCGGTTACCCTTAGGTCTGAACGCAAACCCTGTTAATGGAAGCCAGGGAGATGTGGGTGTGCAGTCGCTAACAACTCCCTGCTCTGAAGCGCTCGTGTCAAGGGCAGTTCAATCAGGTGCGCCCTCTTTAAGGATCATGTTATTGTCAGTCTTCTGTACCATGGCTTGCTCATTGCGATCCGCGCAGTGCCTGGGACAGAATGCCTAATGAATATTTGTTGAATGAATGACTATTTTTGGAACAGCGAGATTGAAAGCAAATCTTATTCAGTGCATTCATTCTCGTTATATGGTTTGGTCAAATGGATGGCTGGAATCGGAGGTCTGTGTTCAGTGCTTGTGCTCTCATGAACCGGGAACCGACAGCCACACAGACCACGAGGGCGGCGTCGGAGGCAGTGGAGGAAGCTCCGGGACTCAGGGGGTGGCTGTGTGAACTCCGGTGGGCCCATCAGCCCCTCTGAGCCTCACTTTCTGTCTGCACCTCTGAACTCAGACTTCTGCTGCATTGCTTTGACCCAGTTGTTCTGTTAATGGGCAGAGTCCATGGGGAAGGAAAATCAGCAAAGCCAGGGCGGACAGCTGACTCCTGTACAGGCTTCTTGGGGGCTTCTTCTGTGGTAGGAGGCCCCCAAATGGGGCAGCTGCCCTTGGCCTTGAGAATGCTTGTTTCTGTACTTCCTTTTGCTGTCACTCTGGAGATCACAGTCACAGAGAAACAGCCTGGGAAAACTCGAATCTGACTGTCCAGAAGTCTTCCAGAAGGTTCCAGAACCCAGCTGTTCTGGTCTAAAGGACAAGCTGTCCTCAGCAGAGCCGTTCCTGGCAAACTCTGCCATGAGCCCCACCTGAAATACTTTCTGTGTTCTGCCAGATGTGGGATGGGAGCACTGGGGAACTGTCTCTGTGAAATATCACTCAGCACACATTGCAATGATTCACATCTCCCACGTCCCAGGCCCTGTCCTTGGTGCTGGGAATACAGTCATTGATCCAGTCCTCTGCCAGGCTGGAGCTCCGTGGTAGAGAGATGAGCCAAGAACCCCATCATACTGTCGTGCACAGCACTGTGCTATGCTATACACACCATGATGTTGGGCCGTCCACCTTGCTGTGATGCAAAATAAACCAGAGTGACAGGCTTGGTGAAGCTGCTGTCTTGCTTTGGGTTGGGCATGGGGTGGGGGGCTCTCGGACTGGGTGATATAAGGGCTGGAGTGATGCAGTATCTAGCAGGGAGAGGGATCCAGGCCGAGGGAAGCCAAGTGCACAGGTTTGGAGGCGGGGTTGTGCTTGGTATGGCCAGAGAGAAGAGAAAGGTGCCCAATGTGGCTGGAGGGCTGCAGCCCATTGCCAGTCAGAGGCTGGCCTTTGGCACAGTGACTGAGGTGCTGCCATCCCATATCGGAGTGCCTGGGTTTGAGTCCCTGCTCCACTTCTCATCCAGCCACCTGCTAATGCACACCCTGGGGGACAGCAGTGATGGCCCAGGTGGTGAATCCCTGCCATTCTGTTCTGGGTGCCTGGCTTCATCCTGGCCCAGTCCTGCCTGTTGTAGGCATTTAGGGAGTGAACCTGCAGATGGGACATCTTTCTCTGCCCCTGTCTCTCTCTGTGTCTCTGCCTTTCAAGTCAAATGAAAATAAATAAAAATCAAAAAGAATCCCCAGTCAGCAAACACATGGATGTATAGGTCAGAATATTCAGTTCTTTGCTATGAGTTAATGATCTGGTTAACAGATTCCTTCCTGTATGCATGTCAGCCTGCCCCATGCACGGATTCGTGTCTGAAGGCAAGGACCGTGAAGTAGTGGACGAATAGCCAGGTGTTTCCTGGCCTCTTATCCCAGCCTCCCATGGACTTCCCTTGTTGTTACAGAGGAGGACCCAGGTAGAGGAAGGTTACATGGTTTGCCCAAGGTCACGAGGCAAGGAGGGCATGGAACCAGGGCTTACATCCAGGCCCAAGGTTCTCAACTGGGGCAGGTGTTGCCTCCCAGCCCCTGGGGCTAAATGGCAATGCATGGGGACACACAGGGCAGGGCGGGGGGAGTGTGGCCATTCACTGCACTCCCACTCTGTGCTGCGTGCTGCCTAGGCTGTGAAGGCAGTGGTGGGTCAGACAATCTCAGCTCTTGTCACCCCCCACTTCTCGGGTGATGTAGCTGCACCCATGCTCAGAACCTCGATGTCCTCCTCAGATGGTGTACGAAGCCACAGAGTTCTCTAAGAGAAGGGCAAAGGAATGGAAAAAGAATGCCACAATGTACCGGCGGGTTCCACGGACCCAGATGAGGCTGAGGTTCAGAGAGGTGCCCAGTGCAGACGGCGGCTAGACGGTGGTGCTTCCAAGCCCAGCCAGGGCAGCTTTGCTGGCAGACCATTGGCCTGGGCCAGGGCCACTCAACCATGGCCCTGTGGGCATTTGGGGTCAGCTGGTTGGGGCAGGAGCTGTCCTGGACCCCGGAGGCTGCTCACCATCACCCCAGATGGCAGGAGCACCCTGCCTGCGTTGTAGGTGCCAGCACGGAGTAACTCAGCATTCCCACGGGGAGTCCCTGGGCTGTGTTGGGAGCAGCCTGACACTGACACTGGCCTGGGGGTGGTGAGCTCTGCAGGACTGACAGCCCCACAGGAAGTGCTGTCACCCCACAGCACAACCGAATGCTTCTTACAACCAACAAACTCTCCTCGGTGTTCCCTGCAGCCCCCTGACACCAGGTGAGGGGACAGCAGCTGCCCATTAAACACACGGGGCAGTTGTGCAGGGACCCCCTCGGGTCACCCAGCCAGAGAGACTCAGAGTGAACCTGACGGTGGTCTTTTTTTTTTTTTTTTTTAAGATTTGTTTATGGGGCTGGTGCTGTGGTAAAGCTGCCACCTACGGTGCTGGCATCCGATATGGGCACCAATCTGAGTCCTGTGTTCCACCTCCAATCCAGCTCTCTGCTGTGGCCTGGGAAAGCAGCAAAGGATGGCCCAAGTGCTCGGGCCCCTGCACCTGCGTGGGAGACCTGGAGGAAGCTCCTGGATCTTAGCTTTGGTTTGGCGCAGCTCTGGCCATTTCACTCGCTGAATTACTGACATTTAGGGGGTGAACCAGAGAATGGAAGATTCTCTCTCTCTCTCTCTCTCTCTCTCTCTCTCTCTATATATATATATATATATATACATATACATATATATGTATATATATATACACCTTTACCTCTGCCTTTCAGTAAATACATAAATATTTTTAAGATGTATTTATTTGAAGGGCAGAGGTACACACACACACACACACACCATCATCATCATCTATCCACTGGTTCATTCCCCAAATGGCCACAATGACTAGGGCTGGGCCAGGTTGAAGCCAGGAGCTTCAACTGGGTGTCCCATGTGGGTGCAGGGGCCCAGGCACTTGGGCCGTCTTCTGCTGCTTTCCCAGGTGCATTAGCAGGGAGCTGGATAGGAAGCAGAGCAGCCGGGACTCAAGCTGGCACCCATATGGCACTGCACTTGGCGGCTTAACCTTCTAGGCCCCAGTCCCGGCATCAGAAGTGGAGCAGCCGGACAAAAACTGGTGCTCAAGTGGGATCCCAGCATCGCAGGTGGTGACTTGCGGCCTTGACTCCTGCACCCTCTCCACCGCCTTGCTGCCTCACCCTGGCCCTCTGTGACAACGGAACAGCCTTGCCCCTCGGTTTGGGGAAGCTCCTAGTTCACAGAGCCCCACAGGAGCCACAGTATCACACAATAGCAGGGGGTCACTCCCTGACTACATCCACGGGGAGGCGGTTAGATTTCAGCTCTGTGCTGGGAAGAACACCCAAGGATTTGCCGGAGAGATGTTTCCCATCTTGTTTTCCTCTAGGACATGTGTTCTGACATGATTTAAGCCTTTCACTGAAAGGTTGTCAAATGACATGAAGAATTCCTACACGCTGCTTGGCCAGGTCCTCCACACATTGAAATTTGACTCATTTCGCACCCTCTCTCCTGAAGCATCTAAGACAGGAAGACCAGTCTGGCACTTGAGTGCAGGTTTCAAGTCTCCAGAGACTCCCTTATCTCAGCTATAGACCACGTTCAGATTTCAGGATAAGGTCTTTTAGAGCGAGACAGCCCAAGACGGGTGTTGCATTCAAAGTGTCAAGTCTCCTTCAACCAGAAACAGTCCTGGCCATTTTGTCCTCTCTGGCCTTGACCTCTGCTGCGATGGGTACCTCGTCAGCCCTTTGCTAGAATGTCCTTGACATGTCCTTGACATGGGTTTGTCTGATTAGTCTCACAAACCCTGGTTCCTTCTGAGAAGCCTGATGGACAGGTGATATCTCTCGTGGGCTTGGGAGGTGGACGATGTGTGAAATGTCCTGTTTGCTGTTCGAGGCCTATCAGTGGTCCCCAACCTGCCTGATCCATTCAGCCACCTGATGGTTCAACTATTGATTTCTGGGGCCCACTCCCAAACAATGGAATCCCAAGTTCTGAGGGTTAGGGCCCAAGTTATGACAGTTTTAAAAATGTGAGTATTTGAATGTGTAGTCACAATTGAGAAACACGGCTATTAAACATGTTAGGAATTTATCTGCCAGGATCCTGCCTGGCTTCAGGAATTCTGCTTTTGCTACAGTGTTAACTGGACTACAACTAACAATCCTCTAGATCTCGTTATTCGCTTGAATTTTTCTTAGACATTGTGCCACACAGAAGAATTTGGACGACCAGTCTTAGTGGCTGATGATCTAAATAGTTCCACCAACTCAAGCTTTTCTGTAGATGTGGCTGGAGCATCCTCACTGACGGAGAACCTTTGGGAAAATAATCCAGTAGGCAAAGCTGTAGTATTTGGTCTTTGATTCTCCAGTTCCTCCTTGGTAAGACGGGAATGCACCCAGTGCGAATGAGTCAATTAGTGCAGTGCAAAATGGCAGTGTTTGTTAACGACGTGGGAGAAAGGAGGCCTGGCACAGCCATCCCATGCCTGTGATGCCCTGTGTGCTACACGCGTGGGGAAGACAGCGCGTCTCGCAGGCTCATGGGCCCACAGCTGGAGAGGAAGCAGACTCCAGGAGCTCTGCAAGAGGAATTACCCCCATGGGCGTCCTCCACCCCTGGGCCTGATCTGATGAGACCTTGGACTGTGAGTAGGGATGGAGGGGGAGGAGACTTTTCGAATTGGTGGGCAGGATCTTTGCATGTGTGGATCACCAGGTGGGGGGCCTGTACCTCCCGGGACCCACACCCTTGTACAGTCCTCCTCAGTTCCCTGAGTGTGGGCAGAACCTCATGCCTTGCTTCTAATGAGCACGACAGGACAAAAGTGAGGGGCGGGACTGCTGAGACCAGGCTGCAGAAAGACTGGTTTCCATCTCGCTCTGTAGCTTTCTTGGTCTGATGGAAGCCAGGAGCCAGGATATGAACTGACCCACAGAGAGGCCCAACAGCAAGAAACTGGGGAAAGGGAGTGGTTGGGGCGGGGGCTGTAGCCAAGAGCCAGCAAAGACCTGAGGCCTGCCAATAGCTGGCATGGCCTTGAAAGTGAAGGTCACATAGTGACCTTGGGAGCGAGGCCTCCTTCAGATGAGACCATAGCCTTGGCTAGCACCCTGACTGCAGCCTTTGGGGGACCTTGAGCCAGAGAAGCACTGCTGGGCTCCTGCCCTGCAGACACTGTTCATTAGTACATGTTTGCTGTTTTAAGCAGCAAAGTCTAGGGTTGATTTGATCCTGAGCAATAGATCACTAACTGATGTGCAGGGAGAGAGGAGCATTGGCTGAGCCCTCTGCTGTGCTTCCATTGCTTTGTAGACCCACCTCCATTCAGCCCTTGCTTTGGTGTGAACACAGTTTGGTCCCTGAACTCATGCAGATGCTTAAGCCCCAAAGTTGATGTTACCAAGAGGGAGGAAACTCAGTCCAATCATGGTGTTCAGGAAGTGGGCATAACGGGAGGCCCTTAGGCCACTGGTGGGCCACCCTTGGGGGGCAGTGCTCAGGACAGGGTGGTTGGAGAAGCCTGAGATGGGCCTGGCCACTCACTCTGCCTCCTGGCCTCCATGCCATCCTCCCATTGCACACGCTCTGCCCTCCCACCCTCACCAGAGGCCAACCCAAGGGGGCCACCTGCTCTTGGACTTGAACTTCCAAAACAGTGAGTGGAACGAGCCTTCTCAGGGATTCCATGGTAGTCA